CAAAACCCTTTTCCATAAGGATTTATCTTCAACACCAAATCTCCACCACCATTTCGCTAGCAGATAGTCATTCACATCCTGGATCCTTCTAATTCCCAGTCCACCTTGGTCCCTTTTTTTAGTAATCTCCTCCCATTTAACCAGATGAATCTTCCGTCTTAATTCAGACCCTCCCCACAAGAAAGCTGCCCTCAAACTCTCAATTGTCTTAGTCACGGAATGGGGCATCTTAAAGATGGATAAGTAGTACACCGGTAAGCTGGAAAGAACAGACTTGATGAGACTCAGACGACCCCCAAAAGAAAGAAGTTTCCTTTTCCAAGATGCTAATTTGGCCCTGATTTTATCGATTACTGGTTTCCAAGTTTTCTTTAATCTAGGGCTAGCACCAAGAGGCAACCCAAGATAAGCTAGAGGAAGACTTTGATTTTGGCAATTAAGCACACCAGCACATTCCTTAACCAGCTGCACATTCACACCAATTCCACAAACATAGCTTTCAAGGAAATTTATTTTCAGCCCTGACACTAATTGGAAACATCTCAAAATTCGTTTTAATGCTACAACCTCCCCCACATCAGCCCTGCAAAAAATTATAGTGTCGTCGGCGAACTGTAAATGTGAAACAGCTAGAGGAAGACTTTGATTTTGGCAATTAAGCACACCAGCACAGTCCTTAACCAGCTGCACATTCACACCAATTCCACAAACATAGCTTTTATGGAAATTTATTTTCAGCCCTGACACTATTTGGAAACATCTCAAAATTCGTTTTAATGCTACAACCTCCCCCACATCAGCCCTGCAAAAAATTATAGTGTCGTCGGCGAACTGTAAATGTGAAACAGTTGTGCTTGCCCCCTCCTGACCAATAACAGCACCTGTGATAATACCAGATTCACCTGCCCTTTTAATCAACATATTTAAACCCTCTGCAACCAGGTTAAAAAGGAAAGGTGACAAGGGATCACCCTGCCTGAGGCCTTTTTCAGGGCTAAATTCCGCCGTAGGAGACCCATTAACTAGTACAGAAACTTTAGGAGTACACACACACTCCTGAATCCATTTTCTCCATCTGACTCCAAATCCAAACCTACACATCATATACAGAAGGCAATCCCAATTCACAGAGTCATATGCTTTTTCGAAATCTAATTTCAAAATCAAACCAGACTGACCACTTCTTTTCCACCAATCAACTACTTCATTTGCGATCAAGACCCCATCCAAAATATTCCTCCCCCCCAGGAAAGCGGATTGAGCCTCCCCAATAACCCTAGAAATCACTTGCCTCAACCTATTAGAAAGGACTTTAGCAAGAATTTTATACATAGAGCCAATTAGACTAATTGGCCTATACTCCGATATGCTAACTGGATCCTCAACTTTTGGAATAAGAGTGACAAAAGAGCTGTTAATACCACCAGCCAATTTTCCATTTTCATGAAATTCATTGAAAAACCTCAACACATCAGACTTAAGGACCTTCCAGCACTTTTGAAAACACAGAAGGTTAAAACCATCAGGACCAGGCGCTTTATTCCCATCACAGTTCTTAACAGCAGCCCACACCTCCTCCTCTGTGAATCTTGCTTCAAGACCTTCAGCATCACCATCACTACCAATAGATTTAAACTGACCAACCAGCTTAGGCCTAAACCTCCATTGTTCAGAGAACACGTGCTTGAAATGAGTAAAGACTTCAGACTTCACTCTATGCGGGTCCTCATACAACACCCCACCCACAGATACAGAATTTAGCAAGTTCCTGCTTTTTCTCCTAGACGCCACAATATGAAAAAATCTCGTATTCCTGTCCCCCAACAGACTCCAGTTCATCCTTGACTTTTGAAGCCACAGCCATTCTTGTTTCTTATTCAACGACCAAACTTCTTTTCTGAGCTGCCTTCTCCGATCTACTTCCACATTAGATAACTCCCTAGACTCAGCCAATAAATCCAGATTATGTAACTCAGATTCAGCAGCCTTCACTAAGTGTGCCACATTCCCAAACACTTCAAGATTCCAACTCTTTAGCACCCGACGAAGATTTTTAAGCTTCTCCTGAATAACAAAACCAGCCCATCCACAAATTTCTGGATCTACCCAAGAAGACTTAATTACAGACAAGAACTGAGGATGCAAAATCCACGCATTAACAAACCGAAACGGTCTAGGACCCCAATCCCTGCTATCTTCCATGAGAAGAAGAGGGCAATGATCAGAAAGCCCTCTAGGAAGACCCCATAATGTAAAGTTAAACTTTTCCAGCCACTCTGAAGAAAGTAGAATTCTATCAATCCTACTCCAGCTGCCCCTCACACTTGAGTTACTCCAAGTAAATTGTCTACCCTGCATGGGCACATCATATAGTTCAACACCTTCAATAAATTCATTAAACTCCCTCATCCCTTTGTCTCTCCTCAAACACCCCTTCCTTTCCCCCATACTTCTAACCTCATTAAAATCCCCCCCTACACACCAAGGATCTACATACTGAGCCTTTAAGTTCCGCAGTGTATTCCAGACAGCACCCCTTCGAGTTACATCATTTGGAGCATAAACATTGACGAAAACACAATTGAAACAAGGAAGGATCGTACCTGAAAGAATTAAGAAATTTCTTGAGCTGCAACACATAGCAAGTGAAAACACACTGGCCTTCCAAACACATAACACACCACCAGAGAAACCATCAGCGTCAACAGACATATATTCCAAGTCATCATATGGCCAAATAGACTTGACCAATTCTTCAGACATTCCGACCTTTTTTGTTTCTTGCAAGAACAGGACATCAACCATCCTCTCCTGTACTATATTTCTAATTTTCCTTCGCTTCTCAGAACGCCCAATACCCCTTATATTCCAAGACAATAACTTCATTATAAACATTCAGACACCTAACCATCACCTAGTGGGTGCTTGTGATCAATCACCAACAGCCACCTGAGCTGCTTTTCTTGCGTTTTCCTCTTCAAGCTCAACAATTTTCCGAACCACCTCTTCTTCCTTGCCCAAAAAATCAATCCCCAAAGCTTTACCCATTTTGACTGTTTCCAACGCCTCAGCTATGAGGACATTGCTCATAGCCGAAACCTGTCCAGGTGGTTTCTGCCGTGACAGAACAGCTGCTGCAACTCGAAAAGCCGGGCCCTTGTGCCAATTCGCCTTAGAAGAAGATCCACCACCTCTTGACACACCCTGTTGCTTTTGACGAGCACTCCCTCCCCTTTTTTCTTTCCCCGAACCAGCATCTCCAAGAGCCCTAATTTGGGATTGAATTCTGTTAGATTTTGATCCCTTCTTTAACAACAGCTCACCAGATTCAGCCCCAGCTACGTTTGAATAAATTCTGTCATGGGCCTGATCCACTGAACAACTAACAATGGACTGACCCAACCCCACAGAAATATTATTGGGCTTACTTAAGCCCATATTCACTTGGTTGTTAATGGACTTACTTAAAACCAAACTTAACGGGGCTTTATTCAACACAACCTCTAAATTTATTCCAGGCCTATTAACAGCATCCCCACTCAGACTGTTCATATACCCAGGTGTAAGAACCTTTTCTACCTCGTCATCCACACTGCTGCCCTTTACACTCTGCATCGCCAGCATTCCATCTTCCTCTGCATGTTTTTCATGAATCTCAGCCACCTTTGTGTTTCCCCCACATTTACTAGCCGATTCCACCACAATGGATGGAGATGAATCGACTTTCTGACCTCCACTAACATTAGCCCCACTAAATGACACCTCATTCCGTTGATCATCTGCCACCTCATCTTCAACAGCCCCTTCATGAGACACATCACCAGCCACCTCAGCATCCTCTTCCTCATCACAGGTTCCATGTTCACCAACCATCTGCTCGAGCTTGTTTGAGCTATGACAATCATGAAAGGCACACTTACAATCCTCCTGCACTACTTTGGTCACCATGACTTGTTCCTCACACACCCTTACAGGGTATCTCCTATCTCCACTTAAAACCAAAATACTTGAATTGATAGACTCCATGAATTTAGTGGCTATTTTAACTCTACCACATGAGAATGAGGACAATTGCACTGTTTCATCATCTACCTTAAGAACCTCCCCCCAGATTCTACCAATCTTCATAAAATTGTCCGCACTCCACAGGTTAAAAGGTACACCATAACAGCATATCCATACTTCTCTTTCCTGCTCAATATAATCCCCTTTCTTCCACTCTGCTACTGATTCACACCATTCCTTCCAACAATCCTGAAGTAGTAATTGATTTTCCTCCAAATGAGCTCTAGAAGAAAAAGAAACAATGGCTTGTCTTCCCCCACCCCCTTTCCGTACTATTACCTCACCAGACCCCTTAGCCAACACTGCCATCCTAAATTCTGAAAAGACATGATAACTTCTCAACTTTACAATAAGACTGTCGTAAAGCCAACCATTCCCTGCTTCTGTGACAATAATCTCATGCTTTACCACCTCACGACACTGCCCACCTTGGACTGCATCAGCATAAGACTTTACACCAATATCTACCAACTCCGAGCGCCTTGTATGCTTGGTTGCAGTTGTTCGGTCAAGTAAATTCTTTAACCGTCTTGCTCCTTCTGTTCCTCTACCCACTGCTGGGGCCTTTCTTTCAAACTCTGCTGTCTTCACCATAAGGGCTTTGTCATCGCACCACAAGCCATTGGCCTTTTGAATGGCCACTGAGGCAGCAACACTACAACCATACCTGACAAATCCAAACCTTGATTTAGTTGCTTTCCTAATCTTATTCGGGATAAACACATCTCTAACAACTCCAAATTTCCCAAACAGGGAATGCAGATCCTTCGGGCTCATAGACCATGGAATATTATCAACGAACACAAAACAAAAGTACACATCAAATAAATTGATTGGTTTTACACATCAATAAAAAAACACCCGAGGAATCAGTCGGCCAAGTTGGATCATATGAATGGCATAAAACCAAAGGAAAACCAAAACTTGAGTAAACGATTATAACAAAGCGCACTCTCTGTCTCTCTCTCTATCTGTCTTTTCTCTTCTCTCTCCTAGTGAATAAAAATAGCATATCTTTGGAAAATGCGTTTGGGGAGTAGTTATATATGTAAGAATAAATAAAGAAGTAAGTAGAGTTGTTATTAGTATCAAAGGTCAGTAGTGTGTGTATAGCAATGGGGAGGCTGTTGAATTACTTGCTTCTTCTTCTTCTTCTTGTTCTACTGGTGGTGGTGTTACAAGTAAACTTGACATGTGCTGGTGGTGAAGATAGTAGTAGTAGTAGTAGTAGTAGTAGTAGTAGTAGTAGTAGTAGTAGTAGTAGTAGTAGTAGTAGTAGTAGTAGTAGTAGTAGTAGTAGTAGTAGTAGTAGTAGTAGTAGTAGTAGTAGTAGTAGTAGTAGTAGTAGTAGTAGTAGTAGTAGTAGTAGTAGTAGTAGTAGTAGTAGTAGTAGTAGTAGTAGTAGTAGTAGTAGTGCTTTGTTTATCTTTGGAGACTCAACAGTGGATCCAGGGAACAATAACTACATAGAGACAGTACCAGAAAATAGAGCAAACCACAAGCCTTATGGTCAGAATGGCTTCTTTCAGCAATCCCCTCCTACCGGTCGCTTCTCCGATGGCCGGGTCATCGTTGACTTTATTGGTTTGTACTCATTTTAATTAATCAAATTATTAATTCATTAATCAATATTAATATTATCTGCTCCTTCCTTCATTTACTTGCAAATATTAAAGATATGTTTGATTGTGTTTTCGTTTTCTTTGTTTTTCCTGTTTTTGAAAACAAAATTTATGTAAAATACCAACATGACAATCGGTTTTGTGTTACTTTATTCTTGTCTAAAATCAGTTCTTTTTTTTTTTCTTTTCTTATTTTTTTTTTGGAAAACTATGATTGGATCATCAATTTGTATAGGAATTTGAAGAGAAAAAGTAAATGAAGTAGAATTTCTTGTTTTACTTTTCCTTTTCATTTTCCTTTTACTTCACATATCCTTTTTTTCAAATTTAAGATAAAAAAAACAGCCAAAAAGTTAGTTGTTTAAAAATTAAAAAAAAATCAGGAAAATAACAGTTTGTTAAACAAATTTTGTGTTTAAAAAAAAATAATTAATGATAAAGCACAATCAAAGAGGCCAAAAAATACTTTAATTAATTTTACTTTTTACGGGGTGAATTCTTTATAATATCTCTCGAAAATCATGCTTAATTTGAATACATCTCCATAGCATGACTACTATATATGCTCATTTAATTATAAATTATTGATTATTTTATATTCTTGTTCATGATTAATTAGTTTTTTTTTTTGATCGGCAAAACGAAATCTTTATTGATGAAGCAATCAAAGTATGAACTATTACATCAATAAAGAGGAACTTGGAGCTAAATAAAAGCTCCAAGCGCCAGTTGGTGAGGAACCAACAACCGAAAACAAGATAACAGACTAACAGAAAACAGAAAACAGCTAGCCCAAACCCAGAACTAAGGGACCAGAGCAAAAACAAAGCAGCAGAGTTCAACCACCAGACCATAGAAAGTCTTCCCAAACAGCACAACCTTCCCATACGTGAACAGACCCCCATAACAGACCAAAAACCTCCCACACTACCCACCAAATCCCAACAGTACATACCTGCCACCTACAACACAGCATACAGCATACACCAAACCACATTAATTAGTTATTAGTACTGATTCCTTGCTAGAGTAATATCTTTCTTCTCATTAATTTCTTCCAACTCATCATAACACTTTATTATATGTTCACATAATTTCCACAGCTGAATATGCAAAGTTGCCCCTGATCCCTCCATTCTTGGAACCATCTGCGGAATATGTCAATGGTGTCAACTTTGGCTCTGGAGGTGCTGGCATCCTTTCTGAGACCAATCAGGGTTTGGTATGAATTTGACTATTTTTCGCATCTTTATCTTATGTCTAAGAGTAATAGTATACAAATAATTTTTTTATATAAAATGATATAAGTTTGAAAAAATTACAGTTACCTCTTTTGAAATTTGGAGAAAATATAGTATAGGTCATAGTTTTAAGATAATTATATTGAGCCCTATTGTGTTTTAATTTTTATAACACTTAGTCCTATATTTTATCAATAATTTGTTAGTTATATAGATGAAAAAGTAATATCTGTATTAGTTTCTGTCTATTTAATTTTACATGAACATGTATACTGTACTTTTTTTTAATTGTATTTTTGCAACATCTGTGTTAGTTTCGGTCTATTTAATTTTACTTAAAGAGAAGTCAATGTAATTATGTCAAAATTGTAAAACCAATTATATTTTTTTCAAATCTCAAGGTAAGCCAGTGGAATTTACCCTATAATTTTTTATGGTCTTTTTTATTTCAAACCAAAACATCTAGATAGCTCATAATATGAAAAATGATAAATTATATTGACCTCACTTGAAATTTGGTAAAATAATGACACATCCCACAATTTTAATATAATTGTACCAACCTCCTTTAAATTTCAAATTACATAATATTTTATTTTAGTCTATTTAATGTCCGTCAATTTTTAACTATAACATTATTTTATTTAACTCTATTAGTTGACTAACTTTGACGGAAGTGCTAGTGTAACTATGTTAAGATTATGAGATTTACTATAATAGTTTCAAATTTCAAGAGATATTAGTGTAAGTTATTTATTTTATACATATAATTGCCATTACAAACTGTAGGAATATTTATACACAGCGGATTAGCAAATTCAATCCATATCTGAATATCTTGAATCCAAAAATAATGGACTTGATGAGTGAATTACGTGCTTTCGAATCGCGAGTTGGAATCCCAACATTGGAGTGATACTACAATGCGAGCAACACCCACACAACTCACAATACAAAGGCCTGTTTTCTTCAATGGCAGAGAGTTTGAAAACACCTATACTTTTACCCACAATATTATGTTTTGCTTCCTCAACTCACTCTCATAATAATACGTATATTAATAGATTTAATATATAGAGATATGGGTAACCACCCATCCTTATCCCAGATAAGATGGGATGGTAAGCTATCCTTATCTCTTAGGATAGCTTTGAATTTAAATTCAAATTAAATTCAGATGAGTCTTACATGGGTCATGAATCATGCCACCATGAGCGCCCCAAACTTGGGTTTGAAACTTGACCCGTTTACCAACATCTCCCACTCACACATGGATTGGCATAACATTGTTGCATCTCTATCTCAATCTGCCCAAATTTAACAAACTCATACTGGCCAATGGACCATGCCACCGCTGAGAACACTTCCATGGACATCAATCCAAAGATAACAAAAATAGTGTCTCATGTTCCCCAGATCCATCTAGTTACACTGGTCCAAAACATCTCTAAGTCCTTAAAGAGCATATTTGACCCTCTCAAATCTTGCATTATATTTACACTCAATCGCATCCCATATAAACTGATGTGAATTATCGACAGTGAATATATAGTCGAGGTGTAGAACTAAATGATCTTCCCTTTGCCCTCATGCCACTTAATTCAGAACTGACCGTTTTCCCAATGATGTCCCTTAAGGCCGAATCATACATGACCGCAAGCAACACACCAAAGTAGCAGAACATCAGTTCCTCATCTCATGACATAGTCAAAAGTCACAAAGGGCACATTGTAAGGTCATTGTGAAATGGCCTTTAGGACTCACACGGTAAGTAAGCAAGGATCCATTCTCTCACCTCACTAACTGGTTGGCAAGCACATGCGGTATGAACGCATGCTACAGTGGAGTAACTCTTCTAAAGAGTGATGTTAGACTCTATACACCGTACAGATCTTAGTCTAGTCACTTCTAAGCGCACAGGTCACTTTAAGCGCCTAACCCAAATTCTCTGTTTGTTCGCTTCCAAAGTGACGAATGAGATCTTGCATCTGGCTTTACATAACAGGCACACTATGGGCTATGTGGGTAATACTTTCCAACGTTGATCCTTAATAGGACCTTATCTTGGCTCCAACCAAGGCGACATAAATTGTGGATGACTTTGAGCTCCTCTCAACTCCAATCTATAAGCCACTAGTCTCGTCATTACTCGTTATCAAGCGCCAAAGGTGATTGCTCGTGTGAGTGAGCCAATCTCGCCTACTAACATCTAATTTATTTATTCTGTGTGCTAACAAATATATGGTATAAATATCCCATAAAGTCAAATACATAAATTAATTGTTCAACTGAAACCACATAAATCACCACCTATGAAAACCTAAAGCCCTATCATGAGTAATATAAACATCTCTAGCAATAGGCTTAGTTAAAGGGTCTGCAACCATGCGATTCGTAAAAATGTGTTCTAGAATCACCTCATTTTGCGCCACAACATCTCTGATAAAGCTAAACCTCACATCAATATGTTTGGTTCTACAGTGGTACTTAGGATCTTTAGCATAAGCAAGTGCAACCATGTTGTCACAATAAATAGTCACCTGGTCTGAAGCATGTGTGACAACATCCAAATGTTGTAAGAACCTCCTCAACCAAACGACCTCCTGAATAGCAGTAGAACAAGCCACAAACTCTGCCTCCATTGTCGATAAGGCAATATAGGATTACCTCTTACTGTTTCAAGATATAGTACCATTGTTGAATGAGAAAGCATATCTAGAAGTAGACTTGAGCTCGTCCAAGTCTCCAACCCAGTCAGCATCACAATGGCCAACCAAACGTAGATAAGAACTTTGGTAGCACAGCACGTAATTTGTAGTCCCCTTAAGGTATCACAGTATTCTCTTGACCGCTTGCCAATGAGCTGGTCCTAGATTGAATTGATAACGACTCACCAATCCGACTGCAAAACAAATGTCTGGTCATGTACACATCATAGCATACATCAAGCTTTCAACAACATTAGAATTAGGTACACGGGCCATCTATCTTTTCTCTTCTGGAGTCTTTGGACCCATATCAAGGTTTAGGCTCTCGCCTTTCGCAACAGGAGTGTCAATGGGTTTGTAACTCTGCATCTGGAATCGCTCTAGGATATTCTTAATGTAAGTCTCTTGACACAAACTGAAAAGTCTTCTAGGGTGATCCCTAAGGATCTTAACTCTGAACACGTAGCTTGCTTCACCCATGTCCTTCATCTCAAAAGTAGAGGACAACCGCTTTTTAGTTGTGACAGTCATTTCCATGTTGTTCCCAGCTAATAGTATGTATGTCATCCACATAAAATGACAATATGAGAAAAGTATCCTTATAACGTTTGACATGCACACAATGATCTTCATCGATCATCATAAACCTATTGGAAATAATGGCTCGATAAAATCTCAAATTCCACTATCTGGATGACTGATTTAGGCCATAAATAGATCGCTGAAACTTGCAAACTTTGCGATTCTAACGCACTACCATAAAGCCCTCTGGTTGATCCATATAGATCTCTTCATCAAATTCTCCATTGAGGAATGCAGTTTAATGTCCATCTGATACAACTCTAAGTCCAACTAAGCTACTATGGCCAGAATAAGGCGAATAAAGGCAAACCTCACAACAAGTCACACCCCAAATTCGGGTATTGTGACTTCTTTCGATCATCATCGGAAGACGAATCATCTTGAATTTCCTGATTGCCAAAATCCTCCGTCATCATTTCATAGGCTGCAGCAAATTCCACGGCTTCCATGGTGTCTTGATGGATTTTAGTAGCAGCTTCAAATTTGGGAAAGGCTTTGGCAACAGCAAGAAAATCAGTTACTCCTTGAACTTCATAGGCAAAGCCTACATTAGGAGTATAAAATCAGTTACTCCTTGAACTTCATAGGCAAAGCCTACATTAGGATGACCGGCCGTGGCCCACAGGGCCTTAGCCCAAGGCACACGTAAGCCTAAACACGAATCCATAAACACATTGAATAACTATACAATAGTCAAGTAATAAATAACCAAAACTCAATCCAGTGACATGCCACAACTATAAACGGCAAAATCAACCGTAATCAAAACCATCCAAACTTATGGGGTATAAACAGCCCACATATTAAAATAATCATAAACGAACCTCAATAAAAATAAAAAGAAATATGCACAAACTGTACATGACAATCTAAAACAAAATAAATGAATGTCCTAGAGGTCCATGCAATTAAGTCCTCGCTACGCCATAAATCCACTCTAAGTCCTTCTAACACCTGGAAGTGATAAAAAACTAAAGTCAGCTGCTAGCTCAGTGAGTAGCAATATGGATAGTAAATACAGTTTTGAAAACAGGGATAAATTCCAAAATAAGATATATATCACAGAAACTAGATTGGCATACAATTTGGTAAATACAATCTGTTTCAAAAAGAAGGTTCAACAATTCAACAGTTAAAATACTCATGTCTCGCAAGAACATGATAAATGACATTTTCCACTTAAAACAGATTACAACATGAACACCAATAATTTTCTGAGTACCAAGAAAATAACAAATAATATGCCACACAGTTCTCAAGGCTATAAGCCCCGTTGGATCCAATACCGAACTAAGAGTCATCCTCAGGGTGGCAACCTGGGCCTTTTCTCTAAGACGATCCGATTGAAGGTCACCTAACTTTTTTTTAAGGTCTTTTCCTTACAATCGTTGAGCACTAGAGTCATCACAGCCCAACCCAGATCTGTTCCCTAGTGGCCAGAGTCACCACACACAATGGAATAATTTCCCTAGACTAAATACACATATGGTCCCAATAATCAATACACATCAGTTTCGCAAACACATGGTAGTTCATCATTATAAACATGAAACCAAAACAAATAGTTTACAGTGTGCCAAGTTCACACATGTTTCAGAAATAATTTGATTCCATTGATAATATAATAATTTATCAAAACAGTTTAGTCATGAAACAACAATTTAATTTTCCAATAGTTCAGGGTAGGGGAA